GGCTTGAGAAAATGCAGACCGGAGGGTATATCTATTGTTTTCCCTGCTAGACACCTTATATTTTGGGAATTGTACCACAATTTCTGCAAATTGCCCTTTCTATCCATGCAGATGCAATGGGAGCTTCTATATTCATTAATATCCCTACGTATAATTAAATACTTTAACCACAAGAGGCTGATTGTAATTCCCTGATGTGTAATAAAAAGGATAATTTGGGGTGTAGCTCATACCTTAGGATATAAAACTCAGAAGTTGTCAACAACCGTGATTTCTGCTGCTGGAAAAAGAATGATCATTAATAGTACTAGATAAAAAAGGAAAGATGCAGAGAAGAGAAGTAATTAGATAAAGATGATATTCCAATTCCAGACAGAGTTTATATCTGAGGCCCTCCACATTTGTCTCTTTTCCCCATTAACAATCAAGGATTACTATAATTAATTTATTTATAACTAAGTAAAATGAATTTGGGTTTCTGTTACCTGCACCCCAAAGAGTCGTATCCAATACATCTACTTATCTGTATACTCCTTGGTATATGAATCTTATTGTCCCTAGGGATAGACAGGCAAATCTACAGAGTGAACAGAGTCTCCTGAGATGAAAGAGATTGAAGTCATCACTCCCTTTTTTTTCCTGAGGTGCAACATTATTGAAACGTTTCTGTTGGATTTAAGTGGATATTCTGCTGTCAGCTGGCAAGAAAAGATAGCGTAATAGAGAAAGAAATTTGAATGGATGACTAAATTTCAGTCTAGGATGACCTGTGCTCATTTATTGTCCAGAAACTGGATAAAACATAAGACAGCTCCAGCACTGTGAAAATTTCTTTAAAAAAATTACTGTGTGGGCATGTTGGGGGCCAGGGTGCATGGGTCCACTAAGGTACAGTGTCATTGGGAGCTCAAGCTCAGGGTGGAATAACTGAATCACATATAGCATAACAGTGGAAAGAGAGTTTTCTTGTTTTTCCTCACCTTAAAAGCTATTGCCAGAGTAGTGGCACACGTAGGTAAATACACCAAACGAGGGCATTGCATCAGATCATGGAGGATCTTCTGTTTTCAATAGCAGTGAGGCAGCAACATCAGCAAAGCAAAGGAGAATGGGACAATACATGAAGACTGAGGACTACTTAGATTATGTAGGGTTTTTTCCTCTGTACAATAATTGTAACTGTGACACCTTGAACTGAGTAAAGCTCCAAGAGTAGATGGACCTACAGTCAGAATGTACAGTTATATCAAGAGAGAACGTTTCTCTCAGCTGTGTGGTAGGCACTCAGGTCATTTGAATTGATATCCAACAACCATTACACCGATTACAAATGGTAAAGTTAAGGTACACAATTTGTCATACAATATGTCAAATATTGACATAAATATGGCAATATTTATGACATAATATTAACATAAATATGACATGTTTTAAAATACGTCAAATATTTCACCACTTTAAAGTCAAATAATCCATGTAAAAATAAAAACTACCAGAAATGTATCAATATATTATAATATTTGACTTCAGACAATGTGGCTATGTGGACTTTCTTCTTCCCTTTACTTTTCCATTTTAAAGGAATTTTATAATCAACATGAATAACTTAAAATGGGAAAATATTTTAAGTTTTTTGAATACAGCATACCATTTAAAATTAATACTTTAATAAATAATTATAGTTTTCTGAGAAAAAGTTAACCTCAAAACATTGGTGACATTCACGTTTAAATATCTATGCATGATGAATATCGCAAAGAAAATATCCCGAAAGTAAAATATAATATAGAATGAGAATTTTGATAGTTTGAATGCTTGTCAAATTCTGTATCATATATTATTTTTTCCACAGAAAAAGTAGCATGACATTTTAATCAGTAACCTCAGAGAGATTAGTACTGTCTGCGTGAATCCCAAGCAAAATTGATCATTTTAAAATAAACACATTTAAAAAATAAATCTTTACTATTTTTGGAACTATCACTATGTCAGCATGTTGCCTTTTATGGAGTTTGATGAAGTGCTATTCACTGTCAGACAATACTAGTTGTCAAACTTTGCTAATAACATATATTAAGGAAATAGTTTAGTTGCAGAGCTGTTAACAGCTGCGAGACACAAGTATACCATCAGATTATTTAATTTGAATGTGGGCTGTGCCTATTAAAGTTTAAGTTTAATCTTTATATCATTAAGGACTCTTGATTTAAGTGACAGGAAAGCAAATCCGAAGTATTTAAGCAAAAAAGAATTTTTGATATATGTAAATTAAAAATCTGAGGATGTATCTATCTATATATGTATTTCTTCAACCAGGAAGAACCTAATCTCTCTTCTTCATCTCTATCTGCTTTCCTCTGTGCCAATTCCATTCTCTGACATGCTTGTTCCTCATTCTGGCAACATAGCTTCATCTTTATAAGTCCAAGTTCAGTGGAAAAGAGGAAGCTTTTTCCCTATGAATATGCATAAAAGCCCAGGGCCTGATTCTCACTCCAGATCTGTCACAAACTCATCACTGAATGGATCACTGGAACCAGAAGACAGATATAGCACAGATTAGCCTAGGTTATGGCATGGTAACAAAACTCTCAAATCCCAAGGGCTTATACAACAATCTTTGCATCTGTCGTGGCCATCAAAGGTAGGCTGCTTCTTGGTCATCCTCACTCTAGATAGAACAGCCACTGTTCGGTTGCTATGACAGTGGCAGAAGAAAGATCTTTGGCTAGACCCATATTAGCAATTAAGTGCTTGACCTCAAAGTGACACATTTTTTTTTTTTCATTCACATCATTTACTGGAACTAGTCACTTGGCCCCATTCAATCACAGAGTCCAGGAAGTGTAACCCTGTCATATATTCAGATCAGGGCGAAATTGGATATTCTGGTGAGGAGCATTAATGAATGACAAATACACTATTTGCCTTAGGTTATATACCCATTGGTCCTGGGATTAGGGACAGCCCCACCACCCTTGGAAGCCTGTCGGTCTCCACAGATAATTTAGGTTTTCGACAGAAAAAAAAGTGAATGAATGCTATCAGAAAAAAAATTACATTCAAGTCAATTTCTAGTAAATGACCAACATTCTGGATTCAGTGAGAGTGTAACTTCCTGTGTGAATAAATTATTAACTTCCAAGGGTTACAGAATTCACCACATCTGTGGTTATAACCCAGTAGCATAAAAGTAAATGTTATTTTTCCCCTAAGCTCTTAATTTTAATCTAGCTGATCCCCTGAAGTAACCAATACAGAGTAAGAAGTTTTCAGAGTAGACATTTTAAATCAAGTTCTGTTTCTAATCTGAATCCATGGGTCATAGGACACGTCAACCTGTGAAAGTAAGTTGGTTTTTAAGCCTTTAACTCTAGTTCACTTCACAAATGAATATATGAAATTCACATTCCGGTCTCCATTCATATACCATGGCTCTGTCTCTTTGTGGAGTGTAGGTAGCATCATTAGACTAGGTATTTTTCCCCAAAGATGTTCAGTATCAGGGACTTTTCTTCCTTTAATTGTACGGAACAGATGTTCACTTAAACAAATTCAAGAAAAGAGTTTATTGTGAGGCTAAAATAGTGAACCTCTGCTTTCTCCATCTCTAGGACTATATGGATCCTCTCCTCTTGATTTTTCTCCTTTTCTCTCTTAGCATCTATTTTTCCTTTCTGAAGAATCTTTCTGCTTATTAATTTTCATTGACCAAGGTACCACAGAAACAGGACTGTGACAAGTTACAGTTCCTGGACCACTTAGTCAAATTCCAAGAAAGATAATCAAATTGACTGGCCGTTGGAAATTGGTATACTGTTAGTCACATGAGCTGTGGTTGGGGAAAAATATCACATGGCACATATAGCCAATTTTTTCAGGGCCTTTGGGTGGGGCAGGCTACACAAGAAGGAAAACTGTACAAGAAAGTAAATTGGCTGTGCCTACAGTAGAAAGTAGAGTTAGAATATTAATACTACTTACGCTCACTACAATTATAAGTGCTTTACAAATATTAATTCATTTAATCCCATGATATTGGTACTTGTGTTAGTCCATTTTCATGCCACTGATAAAAATATATCCAAGACTCGATAATTTATAAAGAAAAAGAGGTTTAATGGACTCACAGTTCCATGTGGCTGGGGAGGCCTCACAATCATGGTGGATGGTGAAAGACACGTCTTACATGGCAGAAGGCGAGAGAGAATGAGAGCCAAGCAAAAGGAGAGACCCCTTATAAAACCATTAGATCTCATGAGACTTATTCACTACCACAAAAACAGTATGGGGGGAAACTGCCTCCATGATTCAGTTGTCTCCTACCAGGTCCCTCCCACAACATTTGGGAATTAGGGAAGCTACAATTCAAAATGAGATTTGGATGGGGGCACAGCCAAACCATATCAGTCCTATTATTATTTTCATATGATAGGTAAGAAAACAGATTCAGAGAAATGAAATAATTTGCTCATGGTCATACAGTTCATAAGAGGCAGAGCCATCCAGGCTTTGAAACTGGGCAGTTTTGCTCCTGGGTTTGTGCGCTTACCTTTTTTGCTTTACAACCACTGTTTGCTATTCTAGAGTATCTGGGTTTACATCAGTGAGTTTATTAATGTTTTTGGGTACTCTCTTAAATCTATTTTGCCAGTTGTAAAAAGCTTGTCATTCTCCAAAGCTCATCTCAAATATTAGCATTTTAACTTTGCAGGCTTCCCGAGCCTCTTGCTTCTGCTCCTAAGCCACCGTGTACGTTTCTTTAATTATCACACAGGTCACCTTGTGCTGCAATTAGATAATACTGTGTTACTACGTGCTTCTGTAGGACAAGGGTTATATAGTTTGATCTCTGTGTTTGTGCTGCAAAACATAATTATGGCACATAGTATATACTTAATGAATTGTTATTAGATCATTCACAATGAAAGAATGAATGCATTAAATAATATTTATACCGTGTAAATTGTACCAATATCTCTTCTGTTACCATCATATAGGACAAAAAGTGCCTCCATAAGAAAACCTGGGAAAAATGCCAGTGAATGTTTGAAATTACTGGGATTCAGAAGCCAAGACAGTGGTTGGTGTGAGCTTTATGATGTTGTTATGAAAACCATACAGAGCGGGTTGATATCAGTTGAACTGAATGAACATTTGCAGAGGTAATACAATAACAAACAATCAAAGTTGATGATACTCTTTTCTGATGGTCATAAATGGAGTTTATAGAAATGTAATAGTAAGATTACATTTTAATCCTTCAAATAGAAATATTAACCGTTCTTTAAAGGATACTTAAAATGCAAACCAGAATTGACACGGATATGCTATCTGTAATTTCATTTATGGCAGTTAAACAAGTGCTTTTGGAAACCACTCATGACTACAGGTTTCTGCTAACTCCAAAATAGTTTTAAAATAGCACCTTCATTTCTGAAATTCCATGGAGATAGTAATTAACTGTTCATATTATGCATATCTTATAACTATGTATAGATAAGTGGAATTTGTTACTTCAGTGCCCTCATTTTGCTTTCTCATTTCCATGTTTTCTAGACAGCCCATTATGAGAAGAGTTCTAGACAGATTTAAGGTTCATGAAGGGTAGCCACTCATAGAGACAGGTGATCATATATCTAAAGATAGCTTTTATTTCATAATGGGAGCTTTTACATTTATGATTTTCTTGAATCCAGTTTCCTAAGAATAGAGTCTGAGATGAAAAGCAAGTGATTCATTGAAAGAGAGCTCTTGGGTAAATCCTGTAGGGCAAAGGAGGAAGATGGAAAAAATGATGGTTTCAGTTGAAGTATTTCTGTAGCCTGACACCCTCTGGGGAGCTCTGCAGTACTAGTACCAAGGTGGCTGGCTTTGCATCCCCACATTGGTTAGTCCTTGTCTGTGGATGTAGGGCTACTCTGGGTGAGGGCCTCTTTTAGGCCAAATCACTGGAGAAGAATTTGAGAACGGGTATCCCAGTCGGGGAAAGAGGTCTGTATTAGTTTGTTAAGGCAGCCGTAACAATGTACCACACACTGGTGGCTTAAACAACAGAAACGTACTGTTTCACAGTTCTGGAGGCTAGAAGTACAAAATCAAGGTGCTAGCAGGGTTTGTTCTTTCCAAGGGCTGTGAGGGAAGGAGCTACCCAGGCCTCTCTTCTTGGCTTGTAGATGGCCGTCTTCATGGTCTCAGGGTGTTTTCTCTCTATGCATTTCTATGTGTTGAAATTTCTCTTTTATGACACCAGTCATACTGGATTAGAGAAGACCCTAATGACTTCACCTTAACCTGATTACCTCTGTAAAGTCCCTATCTCCAAATGAGGTCCCATTCTGAGGTACCAGGGGATAGTACTTCAACACATGAAGGTGTATGTGTGCAGAGATGGTGATACATAATGCAGTCCCTACCAAGGTCCATCGTAACGATCCTTCCCACCTGCACAGAGATGCATATTTCAATCCCCATTTAATTATGGTATATATTCTGCATCCTATGGAGAGTCAATAAATTATTGTGTTCATCTTTCTTTTCTATATTTTAAATATGCTCTTTTGTAATTCTAGTTAAAATATAACTTAAAATACGCTGCCATGTTTAGAGCTGAGCTGAGACTGTATGACTTCTTCGTTTACGAACATGTTTTAGAATTTAGTTTGGTTTGAGCTGGTTTCTTTTTTTATTTCTTTCTCTTTTTTTTTTATAGAGATTGAGTTTTGCCATGTTGCTCAGGCTGGTGTTGAACTTCTAGGCTCAAAAGATCCACCCTCCATGGCCTCCCAAAGTGCTGGGATGCCTCCCAAGTGGCGTGAACCACTGTGCCCAGCCTGAGCCGGTTTCTTGATGGCCAAGAGTTTCTTTACAATCATTAATGAATCTAACCTGTTGGCCTTGAGAATACTTGATTTGAAAAGACGTCTGTTTGATAATGGCTCTTTGCTTGGGTGTTATTAGGTATCAGTGATGTTCTTGATGCTGCGTTTTTCCCTCGGGTCTCACCTCTTTCTTCCATGCAGGTTTATTGTACTTCACCTCTCTTCCACCATGGACAATAGTCATTTGGTTACTTTTGTGAAATCTTTAGAGGAAGCCATGCTCAGCACCACTGCCTGCATAGTGCTGTCTCACCAGAAGGACAATCCACATAGAATAGCTGTTTTAGTGGTGCCTTCCAAAGATTTAAGCCAGGCGCTTAAGAACCTGCGCTTGGAAGGGTTTGGGGGACCTCCAGAGCCATCTCGTCATTTCCAAGTTCGAGAAGGAGAACAACTTCTTTTAAGATTTACTGGAAACATATTTGCTTCAAGTACGTATAAAGAAATCTTTTTATATATTTTATGGGCTATAAGCCACAAGCTCTTCAAAAGCGTTTGCTAAACTTGTGTTACTAAGGAAGCCTTCAGAGGATTGACGAGAGACTTTAGGAAGTAGGAAGAGAAAAAGACTTATGTATTATACTTCTTCCATTCCCATTTCTTTATTTTCTACTTAGGCAATGCATGTTCCTTTACAGGAAGATTCTAAGTGATACTTTTTAGAAACAGCCTTTTCCACAGTTACTATCTGAATCTAAACTAGGATCGTATCTTTCCTACGACAATAAAGTTGCCTTCTAAATGCTTCCATTATTGGCCGTATGAAATCAATTACCATGTGGTAATAAGAGTGATCATTTAAACACATAAATCATACTATATTATACGAGTGATTACAACCTTATTTTTACCTCCTATTCTATCTAAAATAATATCCAAACTCTTTAAGATGTTTTATAAAATAATATCCAAACTCTTTAAGATGTCTTACAAAGAATCTAACCTGGGCTTCAGTGGACTCCCAAAAGATATGTGAATAGATCTATATTTCAGTATAATTGCCATATTTTTAATTCCATGTATTTTATTTTATATTTTTCAAAGACTACTCTGAGAATCAATGGGCAGTTTTCACCAAACTCTAAAGGAGTCTATGACAAAAAAGAAATTAAGAATAATTGATCTAGGCTGGGTACGTGGCTCACCCCTGTAATCCCAGAACTTTGGGAGGCTAAGGCAGGCAAATCACTTGAGGTCAGGTGTTCAAGACTGGCCTGGTCAACATAGTGAAACTTCGTCTCTACTCAGTTAAAAAAAAAATTAGTCTGGTGTGGTGGCCAGTGCCTGTAATCCCAGCTACTGGGAGGCTGAGGCAGGAGAATCACTTGAAACTAGGAGGCAGAGGTTGCAGGTTGCAGTGAGCTGAGATCATCTAAATGACATACGTACCTTGCTTACTTCTTTTCCCGTATTTCTCTAGTGCTATTTTTGTTTTCACTCTAAATCTTATCACAATTTGAAATTATTTAATTAACTTATTTACTTTTTGTTCATATAGTTATGCTATGTCCTTTACCCTTCACCAGAATGAAAACTTCATGAGGGCAGTGACCATGTCTTTCTTGTTAATACATCCTCCAAGCCTAACATAGGAACTGGTATATCCAAAGATTTTTTTTTTTTCTTTACAAAATGCTTTATTTTTGATATCAACCCAACTAAACATTGATACAAGTAATGTATTACCAGTTATTGTACACTGTAATCAAATACACTGAAGAAATATCATTGACTGATAAACAAACTATCATCTTCATTTTCTTCTCTACAATGGTTGATAGACTTATATCTAGAGAGTGATTTCAACAATGAGTTTTTCAGCCCTTGTAGTCTCCAGTGTCTATTGTTGCCATCTTCATGTCCGTGTGCATCTAACTTTAGCTCCCACTTATAAGAACATGCAGTATTAGGTTTTATGTTTCTGCATTAATTTGCTTAGGATGATGGCTTCTAGTTGCATCCCTTTTGTTGCAAAGGACATAATTTTGTTCTTTTTTTGTGGCTGCATGCTATTCCATGGTGTATGTATACCACATTTTCTTGATCCAGTCCACTGTTGATGGGCACCTAGGTTGATTCTATGGCTTTGCTATTGTAAATAGTACTGCAATGAACATGCAAGTACTTTCGATAAGTGTGTAGTGAATGAATGATTATATAACAGTGATGAGGAAAACAAGCAGGATGAATATGAGAGGTGGCAGGAGAGATTGGAGAAGTGAATGAATAGATGAGACTAAAGCGGTCAAAGGAAAGAGATGAAGAGAAAGAGAAAAGGAAGAAAAAGAACATGAAGGGTAAACAGCTGTGTGGGAATAGAAAGCAAACATTCTTTGAAAGAGTTGGCATCACAACAATTTCTTTTTCATTAAGTCAACACCTTCCTCTTTCTAACTGCTTGCCCTGCAGTGAAATAGAGTCTAACAGGCGTGTGTATAAAAATGAGGTGAGAGGGAAAATTCAGGACAGATTTTACGAAGATTTCTGGCCCTGGAGGCTTTCTACATTGACTTGAGGGGATGTGCTCTGTTTGTTTATAAATTAATATGGATCCCATTTATTTTATTATGCCTATTTTCTCTCTGATTCAAGAAATAGCTCCAAGCCTCATTGGTTCTTTTTTGCTTCAAAGAAGGGACAAGGCTTGAAGCTGATGCTGCCCTCCCCCCTTTTTTGATATCTCAGGAATAAGTGAGACCTAAAATGTCCCAATTTTAAGTGTCTATTCTACTCTCACATACAGGATCTCAGCCTCTGAACCAGCTGACGGGACTTAGTGAGCAAGTGACAAAGATGGCAGAGAAGGGGGCAGGGAAGAGAGAGGAGAGAGAGGAAGGAAGGGTGGAAGAGGCCCCTTCCTACTTGGTTTCCGGAGCAGAAACCACAGCGTCCACCCTGGAGAAATCTCTCTAATGAGATATAGTACTAACAAGAAGTGTCCCACCCAGACTAATGATGCAAATGATTTTCCTGTAATACTGTGGACAGCAGCTGTGTTTACCAACCACCCTAAACAGGAGTGCATTACTGTTCTACTCACAAGCAGTGGTACTGAATATCCCACTGCCTGCTGTGGAGACCGGGGAGCACCTGCTAAACCAAGAGCATACAAGGCAGCCGGCACCTGAGCAATTCCTCCGTATAAAGGATGGGGAAGAGTTCGTCTTCATTCAAGGAAAATGAGTCAGGCAGGATACCCAGATCCTAGGTTTGCTTTTCCTAGGGAGACAGGCTCAGATCTGGAGCCTCACTGGGTTTTTCTCTGCCTAAGAGGGACAAGATCCTCAGTAAACAATTGATACCTCATCCTGGTAAAAGAATTGATCCATCCTTTTATCAGGGCCTAGAGTAGTCTCTGTGAATCTCAAAGAGATAAAGCTAGAGATTCTCTGCCTGGAGGATTCTCCTCACCCTCCCCACCCCCACCCTCACCCCCAGTTCTCTCCTGCTGTATCTTCAGGTCTCACCTTAAAGATCATGTTCTGAGAAGCTTTCTCTGTCCTTCCTATGTCAGAACTTATTTTATTTTTTAATAGTTCTATTATACTTTTGTAGATCCTCCTTTTTTCTTTTGTGGCCTTTGTCACATGCAATTTTCTATTCATTCATTTCATTGTTTGATCAATTCCAGTTTCTCCTACCACAGTCCCATCGGTGGAGGCACTGTCCTGTTGGTGGTCAGCATTCAATCCAGAGCCTGACAGTTAGAAGAAACTCAGTATTTGTTGAAAGAAATGAAGACTAAAGTTTAGAAAAAAGCATTATAATATTAAGTGCAATTAAAAGTATTTAAAACTTTAATTAATTTAGATTACTGCCCTTTGAAAATGCCGAAATATCTCTATTCACTTATAGAGAATATGAATGGCTTTTCAGTGAAGGTCACAGGACATAGACTATATTTGTATCTCTAATAGGAAGGAAGATGGATAGGTGTGTCCTTTGGTTTTTATAATGGTTTTTGGCATTCTTCTGGACACAAGCTACAGCAAGCTTTCATTCTCTAGGTGAGAGTTGTCAGTTTAGCACTTGGATTATTGCAAGATAACCAAGCCCCCACTGCACACAAAATCCAGAAAGTGCCAGAAAGTGTTTTAATATGATTTTATATAATGGCAACATAGCATCACCCATAACATCTAGTAATGCCCTGTGAGGTCTGTCTTTTAAAGTTTCCCTGAATGCCCTTTGGCCTAGGGCAGTGATTTTTCTAGATATTCTATGGGTTGTATCTCTACATGTATCTGTACACCTATATAATAACCATTCTTTAATTTGCTAAACAAAAATTTGTTGACCTTATGTATATTAAAGTCTAATGAAGAAAGACAGAGAATAAGCAAATAAGTAAATAAACTGCATAGCTTAATTTGGGCTGAAAAGTGAATTATAGAAGAATAAAGAAGGGAAAGGATAGGGGGATCTTAAGGGATGTAGCAGGCTTGCAGTTTTATCTTAGGGAAGACCATTCTGGGAAGGTGACATTTAAAAAAAAGAAGTTTCTAAGAGGGTGAGGAAGCAAGCCATAATCCTATCTCAGGGGAGTTTATCCCAGGCAGAGGGATTGCCAGTGCCAGTGAACTCGGTGGAAACCTGCCTTGTGTGTGTGGGGAACAGTGGGAGCCTGAGATGGCTGGATCAGAGGGAGTGAGCACAGGTTGTGGAAGATGAGGTGAGAACTGATCATGCCTTGTAGGCCATTGGAAAGACGGCCTTTTCTGCTGAGTGACTTGGGGAAACATGAAGGCTTTTCAACAGAGAAGTGATCTGAGTTAGATTATAACTGCATTGAGAATAGGCTTTAGAGCAAGAGGAGAAGCAGGGAGACCAGTTATTGTTTAATTGCAGTAAACCAGGCAAAAGATAGCATGGCTTAGAGGTAGAGCTGGTGGAGAATGGGTTAGAATATAGAAATACACTGAGCCAGTGGTTCTCATAGGGTTTTTCTGGTTTCCCGGACTGCTAGCCCTTTCAATTTTTTTATCTGATTTATCTGAGCAAAAACATTTATTCTTACATTTGTATTTTCTATGTCATCAATGAAAAATATTTAATGCCCATTATTGAGAAGAAAATATATTACTATAAGGGACAGCAGGTAATCCACAAAATATAAGTAAATTCTCGAACTTTTTACATGACAGGTATTTACTAAATAGCTACTATCTCAAGACACTTCTAGGGGACTATATACGTAAGATATCGAGAAGACGAAAAAGATTCTCAGAAGGTCCACTAGTGCTTGATTTTACACTTTGGGTATGGAATGAATGAGTTTTTCTTTTATTTCTCCTTTAAATATGCCAGTGAGGGAGAAAAAAACAGAGTAGTGCAATTTCTTCATGCAACTTCTATTTTTTTGGATCTATTTTTTTATTCAGGGGACCAGACATCTTTAAAATATAATATTATGCCTTAACAACAATGAAACTCCAACTTTAAAAAATTACAAAATGGCTTATGTTTACAACATGAAGATTTTGCTATTACTATTAGTAAATCCTCAATAATTTCATCCCTACTTCATATATAAATGTGATCTTTAGAGAGTTTCCCTAGAGATCTTTAGTTTTAAAAATTGGTAAAAGTTTTAGGTCTCAATTGAACCAGAGTGGCTATGCCTCACCCTCAATCCTTATATCCTCTGTATAAATCATTTCTTATGAATAATTGTGCACCCGACAGAGAGTATAATGTCTTTCAAGGGGTAGAAGGGGAAATTTACTAATTGGTATTCCACAGGGACCAAAGTAGTAAAATTTTTCTTGATAGCACTCTAGTAGTATGGAAGCAGAAGTTAGCCAGGTGTCACTCCAGTGAGCTGGAAACTCCAATTTACCTAATTTACTATTTAGATAACATTTAAATTACCCCAAATAATCCACTTTTTTTTTTTTTTTTTTTTGTAACCAAAGTGAGACTCTCTTAAGAAGATAAACTCTGGCTAGTCATTCATCTCCTAGGAATCGTTTTTTTTTTTTTTTTTTTTTTCCTAAGTAGCCAGGTTGCCTCTCAAATATAAAGTTTTGCAAAGGGATCTACTCCTACACCTTCTGTAATCTGGAGTTATTCTATTTCTAGATTTAACTGAGCTTTAGAAAAATCACCAAAATGACCTCAAGCAGTCAGGACCGGGGGAAGGGTCCTGGTATCATCTACATCTCTCACTGAAGTCTTTGTTCCCTAGGCAAAAGGGAACGTTTTCCATGAGAGAAAACTCTGGGCAGTCAACTGTATGTTGACTTACAGTAGACAAAGGAAGTTTCCATGTAGACATGAAAGCTAAATCTTGGCCAGATGTGGTGGTTCATGCCTGTAATCCCAGCACTTTGGGAGGCCGAGGAGGGTGGATTGCTTGCCTTCAGGAGAGTTTGAGACCAGCCTGGGCATCATGGTGAAACCTCATCTCTATGGAAAAAAAAAAGTAGCCAGGCACGGTGGCACACATCTATAGTCCCATCTGCTTGGGAGGCTGAGGTGGGAGGATAACTTGAACTTGGGAGGTGGAGGGTTTAGTGAGCTGGGATTGTGCCACTGTGGAGCTGTGTCATTCCAGCCCGGGTGACAGAGTGAGGCTCAGTCTCAAAAAAAGAAAAAAAAAGCTTCATCTTGACATTTCTTTAAAAAAATCTGAGTTTTTTTTGTTTTTGGTTTTGATTTTGGTTTGTGTGTGTGTGTGTGCAAATTCAAAATAGTGCAAGAATCCTGCCTCTTATCATTTGGTATCATTGCTGTCATTTATTGAGCACTTACTGTGTGCCACGTCCTATGATAATTATTTTATCCATATTTTCTCGTTTCATTTCCTAAACAGTCCTAGGAGTTAAGCTTTATTTCTCCTGTTTTAAGGGTAAAAAAGCTAAGGGAAGCTAAGGGAAGCTAAGGAAGGGTAAGGAAGCTAAGGGAAGTCTCTAAAAAGCTCAGAGATATGAAAAACAATGGACAAATATTAACAGATAAATATTACAGAATACACAAATCATAGAGGCTGGACTTGAACCTAGATCTATACATCCAAGGCATATTATCTTAAATGCTACATTATATCTTCCTACAAGTTTTACAAATTTTGATGCAGACATATATTGCCTTAGAAAACATGGTAGTGTTTATTTTGCTGTTGAAATAACAAGGTAAAATATTCTGATTGTCATGGTAAAACCCCAATGAGTGAAATATTATGTTCACAAAAACTTTAGAATTTTCAGTAAGGAGTTGATAAAACATTTATATATTATCATTTTAGGAAAATCCGTCAGGTTTTCATAGAAATTTCAGTAACACAAATTCAATAACTATCACACCTGAAAGTTCTAGATCAACACTGTCCATTTTCACAATTGTGGAAATGTTTTACATCTGTGCTATTCATTATGGTAGCCTTTATGCTTATGCTGTCACTGAGACTTTTAAATGTAGGTAGACTGAGGAGTTAAATTTAATTATATTTACTGTTCATTAATTTTCATTTAAACTTAAATTGCCACATGTTATAGGAGAGTGCAGTTCTGGAATGTCTATTGTGAGGTCGCAATATGAATAGTTAGGGGAAAGGAGAAAGATAATTCTCAACGGGTGAAAATAATTTTCTAAATGTTGCAAAAGCTGAATATTTCTAGTAGTTTCTGGTTATATCAAAATGGAAGAGAGAAAGAAAAGCTAAAGATTATTTGATTTAGAAGCAGCCAGAGAGCACCTGGCCCAACAACCGATGAGAAATCTTTTGAGCAATCCATATGGTCTCTGCCTATCGTTCCTTTGTCAAGTTATGTTTTGACAAAAGATAATGATACACAAAAGTTTTAGTCATATTTTTAAAGTAAAATAATTATTTGGGTTTTTAAAAATTAAGTAACACAAAGTGACACATCTTTTTTTTTTTTTTTAATTAATTGATTTATTTTTTTGAGATGGAGTCTCCTTCTGGAGTCCAGGCTGGAGTACAGTGGCGCAATCTCTGCTCACTGCCAGCTCCGCCTCCCGGGTTCATGCCCTTCTCCTGCCTCAGTCTCCCCAGTAGCTGGGACTACAGGCGCCCTCCACCACGCCCGGCTAATTTTTTGTATTTTTAGTGGAGACGGAGTTTCACCGTGTTAGCCAGGATGGTCTTGATCTCCTGACCTCGTGATCCGCCCGCCTTGGCCTCCCAAAGTGAGACATCTCAATGGTAATAAATGCATTTTACTTCTATTTAGGTAATGGGAAAGATTATGGAAAAGACTACACACTTATTTTTCACTTGCAAAGAAAACCTAGGCTGGAACTCCAAATCAAAGAAGTGGACGAATTTGGAAACTATAGCTGCCCTCATTATAAAGGCACCATTGTCGTTTACAAAGTACCTAAGGGAAAGATAGTCCCCAACTTGAATCAATCTCTCGTAACTAATGAAAACCATTCTCAGTTGCCAATTTGCAAATTACCATTGAAATTGCCAAAGGTGAGTTATTTTACTTTTCTAATTATTACATTTTGTTACTTATTTATAATTCTGTAACACAATCAGTTTTGCAGGCATAGAGACACATACAGTTAAAAGAAAAGGTAAGAAGAGAGTTAATAAAGAAGGAGTAGGTAGGTCCAGTTTTAGAGTATCAGAAAACGTGTTAGGATTTCTCCTTTTATTCGTATCAGCCTTTCTAACAAGAATGCTTCAGATTGGTCTGGTCCTCACAGCATGTTGTTGCTAACTATGAAAATAATGTCATTCATTTTCTGTAACTGCCTCTGAGTCACTGGAAAATCATTTATGAAAAAAAATGCATTTCAGAGCACATCATTTTAGGGAAAAGTCATGGTGAAGAGCAAAATGACCTCAAAATATTTACATTGAAACTTACCATATTCTGCGTGTTTGTTTCATGAGTTATACTTGCCTAAAATTCTTACTCATGTCAGAAAGTAGGATTAAATTATTTCTTTGAACATGTCTAACACACAAATAAATACATTTTATTGCTGTGTATTACAATTTATTTCAGTGAAACAGGGCTTGGTAGATCTAAACTACATTTTTAATAAGAAATATAACTGAAAAATTTACTTCATTAATCTTGAGGTAAAAACAAACGTCTTATTCTTTAAAGAAAGCTAAAATCACTTTCCCATGTTTATATTTTTTGTGTGTATGACTAGCAGAAATGTGTTTACCATGTGGTTAGATTTTGTTCTGATTTAAAATAAATCATTAAAGTAATTTAGCAAATATTAATATTGAACTTCTGAAATAGGGGATGTGCTGCGCTAGGCTTTGTGATAAATACAGAGCTGTAAAGGATAATACATGCCCTAAAGCTTTGTTGTTCTGAATGGTCACTACTGTCCATATGTGGCTATGGAGCACTTGAAATATGGCTAGTCTAAACTGAGATGGGCAGTGAGTTTAAGATATGCACCGCATTTCAAAGACTCAGTACAAATAATATATAAACTATCTCATTAATAATTTGTTTATATTGACTACATGGTAAATTTACATTTTGGTTATACTAGGTTATATAAAATATATAAAAATTAACTTCCTCTTTTATTTTTTTAAACATTTTAGTTACTATTAATAGAATATTTTAAATTATATATGTATCTTAAATTATATTTCTATGGAATAGTGCTTCTGTAAATGAATTTATAATCCAGTGAACAAGTACACAAAACATATACGCAAAATTACGTTGTAAGATAGTAACTGATTGAAGTTATATTTAGATTATATAAGCAGTGGTACTAACAGTTGGTACTAGATGGTACAAATAGTTGTTCAGAGAAGGGAAGTGGCTTTTCCACAATCTGTAACCAGTAAAGTTTGTGGTATTTGTGACATTTTATTTGAGCTTTGTAAGTTGGTGGAAATTCAGCCACTGGAAATGAAGAAAAAAGGCAAGTTAGGGGGAGAAAATACAGTGCATTTGACTGGGGTGGTAAGCATAGCTTAGCAGGAATTCACAAGTTGTGTAATAACCATTGTAATAATGTCTAATATGCCAAAGGCCTTGCAAATACTTTCTATGCATTGTATCACTAAACCCTCACAAAAGTGCTATGATACATAATTGTTCTTACTTTGTGGGAAACTGACACACAGACATTTTAGGCAACTTGCCCAGGTTCTCATGGCTAAGTAAATGGCAGAGCTAAAATTCAGACCCAAGAAATCTGCTTCCTGTGTGTTGAATGGCTATGATGTTGTCACTTCGTTAGCACATAAAGCTAGGATTACTAGTCAAAGATACAAGATGGATTTTAGGGCATCTGGGTTCACATTTGATGTATGATGTCTGTACTATGCTTTAGTATAGAGATAATATTAGAAATATTTAACAAATTATATGACCTGAACACCAACCAGTGAACTTGAAAGCAGCCCTCAGTATGTTCCTGGTGACATTAACTTTACTTGCTGTTTTTGAGGAGATCCCGGGGTCCCTGGGAAGCATGCATAAGTAGAGGAATTGATTAAGCCATTGATACTGAAAATGATACTTTCATGACAGTATAGCCAAACTGGTGTACATCTACTATCAGTTTTGCTTCTGTGCATTTTCATTTCCACTGTAAGACTTTGCACCATACGGCCGTTACCTATACATGCGGCACTTTTCCCTGAGATAGTCCCATAGCTGCTTCTTTATCATTCAGGCCTCAGCTCAGATGTCACTTGTTATTCTTATTCCCTTATCTCCCAATCTGAAGTCACTTTTTAACTTGTCACCCTTTCTCGATTTACTTCCTAACACCCATCATTGATTTTTTTAGATTTATATGTTCATATATTTTCTATTTTTCTTTGCCTCTTGAAAAAGCAAACTCTGTGAATGAAGGACCCTGTCTATTCTATCCAGGTTCCTTCTTCTGTGATTAGAAAAGTGCCTGGCACATAGCAGGCACCCTAAATATCTATGACTTGATGAATAAGGGGAGGTCTATAGTTTTCTCTCCAGATTCTAAAAGTTTAAGAACTATTGACTTGAAGGAATACTCAAATTCTCTCTGTTCCATAGTTTAGAGCTTGATTCTACAAACTCTTAACTGGCACGCTAAGGCATCGATGTGGATCAACATGAAGATCTGGAGTGGAGAGGGGTACATAAGGGCTGCTCTCCAGGCAGCTCAGCCGGCACGTTACTTCCAGTGAGCACCATGTTTTTGCTGTGCTGCCATGAGAGGATGAAAGGGAGACAAGCCAGGGGTGGTTGGAATTCTCTGGCAAGATGGGGTAAGGGCCTTACTGAGATGATGGCAGACCATGGAAAGAAGGGCCCTTATGTCAGAGAGGACAGACGTGAAGTCCAAAAATGTGACAGGAATTCAGCTTTCACTTATTAGTGTTTTCTCTGTTACCTGACTTTATAAAAGTAGCCAAATTAGTCAAGCCGAATTAGCCAACATAGATAATTTAGGGGTTTGTGTAGATTTTCCTCAGTAAAAGTCTGTGTTTACGGTAGTCCAGTACTTTTGCATCAGCTTCTTCTCTGCTTTGCTTCTAACACACCATTCCTTACCTATGTGCCTGAATAATTCTTACTGAACCTCTTTCACATTGGTGCTTAAGTGCAACCTCTCCAAGGAAGCCTTCCCTCACTCCTCCTTTGTAGCAGGTTAAGTGTTCCTGGTACATGGACCTACAGCGTTTTGTACTCTCCTTATCACTGTAGTTACCATATTTCATGACAACCACTTGCTTGTTTCCTTCCCTTGTTGCTGTAATGGTTTTTCAGGGAGTCTTTTTCCTGAAATATTTTTTTCTAATCACCCCTCCTTGTGAAATTTTATTACCACAGATATATTGTGTGTCTGTTTATATACTACATATTTATCTGTGTTTTATACATCTAAAAGAATAAGCCTTTTTGTGTCTCACCCAGGGACGAATTTTCTCTCCCCATGGGTGACATTATCAAAATTGAGAATGCATTCAATAAGCTGCGCAGGCACAGACCCTGTCCCACTCAACTCTCTATTGCCAGTGGGGAGAGATAGTACATGCTTGATAAATATTTGTGACTAACTAGATGAACAAGATAATTTCTGCAAACCTTACAATTACTCAGCTTTGAAATTGATAATCCTGAAACTATATTGGCATGTTTAAAAATAGTACATTTAAATGTCTGCTGCCTTTCATAGATGAATCTACTGCCAATAGGCCATCTGTGCTTTCTTTTTATCCCAGATGGGTTTGTATAGGGCTTTCCAAATTCACTCCCTGGGCCCTTTCTTGTGCCCAAAGTCTTCAGAAATAAGTTTGTCGGGTTGAAAAAGAATCTGTGGCAGTGGGAACTTTTTTCTGTTCAAACTTGTGTAACTAAATGGGAATTGAAACCGTGACCTTTATTTTTGCAAGATGAGACTTATTTCATAAAGTTCAGATCTTAAAAAATTCACCTCAACTAAGCAGTATTAGAATGTGCTATTTTTCAGGAAATGGAAGTAGCCTAATATAGCAACAGCTTGGCATTAATGAACATGACACTGTGTGCATATTTATACATGTAGCATAAAACAGGTGAAGGTATTTGTCCAAATTAAAAGTGCTTCACAGAGAACACACAGCAAATATTTGCATATATGTATATAGGCATAGAACCACACACAAAATTATAAAGTGTGATGTAAATATACTGTATCTGATTCATAAAGATGAGAAGACGTATCACTTTTACTTCATATTTGTGAGGATCTCTGTGTCTCTTATTCTACAGCCTCTGTCGTTCATTCATTCATATATTAATTAATTCACCAAACAGTGTATCCCAAAGCCTCAATGTATAGTAGTGTTCTGGTTTGTAGGGTCTCATGCTTCCCTTTCTTCTTTATGGCATGTTTTCAACTCAGAGGCAGAGTTATCCCTTAAAGTAGAGGTCCCCAATCCCTGGGCCATGAAATTGTAGCAGTCCGTGGCTGATTAGGAACCAGGAGGTGAATGGTGGGCAAGTGAGCAATGCTTCATCTGTATTTACAGCCACTCTGCATTGCTTGCACTGCTGCCTGAGCTCTGCTTCCTATCAGATCAGTGGCGGCATTTGATTCTTGTAGGAGTGCAAACCCTTTTGTGAAATGCACCTGCAAGGGATCTAGGTTGTGTGCTTCTTATAAGAATCCAATGCCTGATGATCTGTCATTGTCTCGCATCACGATGGGATCTTCTAGTTGTAGGAAAACAAGCTCGAGGCTCCCACTGATTCTACATTATGGTATATAATTATCTGATTATATATTAAAATATAATAATAATAGAAGTAAAGTGCACAATAAATGTCACTTGCCTGAATCATCCTGAAACCATCCCTCCAACATGGAAAAATGGTCTTCTATGAAACTGGTTCCTGGTGCCAAAATAGTTGGGGCCTACTGCCTTAAAGCATCAGTCAAATAATCTCATGCCTCTGCTCCAAACCCTTCAGTGGCTCCCAGCTTCCTTCCGAATAAAGGCTCTGTGTGAAC